GGTGCACTTCAAGACAGACAGTTGAAAACGGGATACAGACTGACTTATGCACCCTGGAAATTACATGGAAATAACAGCCTTTAAGCCGCTGGCAGGTCTGAAAAGTCATGGACATGGCATGTGCCATGACTTACAATCACAGGAGAAACCGAAATGCATTTAGCTATAAAGCTGCAAGGAGGCGTGTGTGACTGAACTATCATCCAGATGAGGTGGAGGAAGATGGCCTCGCACCAGAGACACACGTGCATGCATGCACATGCACATGCACATGCACACACACGCACATGCACACGTACATGCACACGCACACTCCGGGTCTCTACTGGTGGCAGTGCTAACAAGGTGTCCTGTTTCGCATGGCTGGTCTTTAGTGCCATCCAGGCGCACCAGCTTTTTGGAACGGGAGGCCAGTACAAATACTGGTCTTTCACCAGGCTGGATGAGGGCCTCCCTAGTTAAGTCTTGTGAGACGTTCTTTCCGTCACAGAAGTGTCCCTTTAAGGCTCGCGGTGTTTGGTGAACCGACCGGATCCCATGGTGACGGGACCTTTCTGGAGCATACGATTACGTATTCCAGTGCTCCATCTACTCAAATACTGTGTTTGTTTATTTTGGATTTACCTAGTCCCCTTCAAGGGGAATGAGGTACGTACCGTCATATGGCCAGCGAAGTCTGGGGCCGAAGAAAGAGAAGAAAGAGGAGGACCAACTGCTTGTGTGTGAAGGGATTAGAGCTATTCAAGGAGTCTTCTGAGAAATAAGATAATGACTGGAAACTGTAATAAAAAGGAGAGGCAGTGCATGAGAGCGAGACACACACACAATTTTGATTTCAGGCTAATCATCATCAATGCCAAAATGTATCATGAAAAAAGCAAACGTTACTTTTTTTATATAACATCAGGCACTCTTAATATATTCGCGATGACATCACCATTTGAAAGCCACACAATAAGGAAATGATGTCATGGGGATTTAAAATCTTGTTAAGCAAATTCATTAATGAGTTTCCATCCATGACAGTTGTCAGGGGCAACCGCTCATTATCATATCCTACTTCCTCTGGGTGTCCTCTCCCTTGGGATTGCTAGTCTGCCTGTCCTCCCTCTCTCTGACTTTTTTTCAGTTCAGCTGTTGGCATGATGATGAACGGTCATTTCGTCCAAAAGGCTTAGGGATGCAAAGCCCCCCCTCTCCCCCTGTTATTTTCTTTGTGCCACAGTGAGCAGAAAGTATATTTGATTCCTGTTCTTAGTTACTATTTATCACTGTGTTAATAATTTTAATCAATTCACTTTCCTTTTAAACACTGTTAAATTTCTTCAGAAGTATAGGCCATGTGAATTCATTTACAAAATCATTACACATCACAGACACACTGACTTAATGTAACGCTTGGCCTGAGGTGCCGTCTTTTATCTACAGTCAGAAATCAGTCTATCATTGGAAATTTTTGGAAAGATTAATTTATCGCACAGATGTTCAATCCATTACATATCACAGTCAAACCATCGCATCTCCCCTGAGACTCGATGTCGGCGACGTACTTAAAGGGGGAATGTCGAGACAGTATTACTTTACATTGTTTTACGTGGAGAGCGTTTGGCTTAACAGGCAGCAGATGCTGAAGCATTCACGGGACAGCCCCAGTGACTGGAAACAGATTCAAACAGCAAACTGGGGGGGGGGGACCCTTACGTCAAGTGCTCCACCCGACCTCAACTCATCCAGCTGTGCAAGCAGAAAAACCTGTGAACTCTGTCAAAGTAAAATATCTTTATTGCAAGACATACTGCATTTACTCATAATTGACAGTGATTTGCATGTAGGGATGTCAGAAAAGGAAAATGATGTTGTCCCCGTCCCTATTCTAAAGAAACTTGGCTGACATGCATAAATCTTCCTGTTCTTATTTTTAACTTTTTGTTTACAACTGCTGTATGCTAAGTTTAAGTTTAGTTTAAAATGGTAAAAACAATTATTCGGTTGATGAATCCTTTTCTTGCTATATTTGCATTTTTAACTTCTGGCTTAAATGTAATTTTCACCTGTTATAATAATCAGTTGAAACTTTCCTAAATGGAGTTTTCTTTGACTCCTGCACCCCCCCCACTCCCACTCCCACTGTCTGCTCCCGATTACAGAGCTGCAGTGCCCTCTAGCTGCAGGTATCCACCTTGACAGGCAGCCAGAAGGATCCTCGTTTGAGGCCGTTAGTGTCAGTTTCTGTGTGTGGCTGGTGGCTGGTGACAGGATAAGCACGGGCATGTGGGAAAGCCAAGTAAGGTACATGGACTGTAGCTGTAAATGCGAAACTCAAGACCATCCATGCAGGACCGCAGAACATCTCCGTGCTGCCGGATTACAAGGCTGATTATACTCCTGTGCCCCGTCACAAGACAGCTGTGTACAGCTGAGAATTTATAAGGACTCTAATATCATCACCACAATATTCCCATTATTCCGCCTCCTGACATTTTATTGCTGCTGCCACTAGCCTTAGTGCCCTTCTCCGTCTCCATGCCAAGCAGCGTCTCACTGGCCAACACTCCCAACAAAAGGACACCTGGAACGCATCCTTATTAGCAGATCTGGCAGTAAACAGCGCTGTGAACACACAGCTGTCCGACCTGGCAGCGGCCAGCCTCAGTCTCATCTGAGAGCACCTTGCCTAAAGGCAATCCTACTTCCCGTCTGCCTCCATGACTAATACCTAATGACAGAACAATATTACAGTGTATTATCAGGCTTGTCAACTTTGGTCAGCTGGCTCGAGCCAGATTTTAAATTTGAGACAAGTCTGCACACACATACACACGCATTTACATGGACATAGCAGTTGTATTACTTTGTAAATAATCTGCAGGGTTTGCAAACTACCTACACTTTTGTTGTAGCAAATTTTAGGTTTATAATGGAATAATAAAGATTTGCGTGTTGCGTGAGCGTGAGTCTGAAAGCCTGAATTTTAATAACTTTTTGGTTACAAGTTCATTGTTTCTCAGGTAGTGCGTCCCCTTTGGGATGATGTACCCTTCCCTGAAATCAAAGTGAAAGAAATATGCTGTCCTTTGGACAAACACCGATCCGCGTACCAGATCCAAAACAACAGAGATCGAATGGATTGTTTGCTTAGAAACCTGATCATCTCTTAAGACACGAAATCAGACTCAGAAATCCTAACCCCAACCGTGATTCATTAAGCTAAAGAGATCGCATTTCCGTCCTGCTTTGTGATTAGGAAGCGATAGCAGCGCCTTGTGCATGGAGTTGCTGGGGAATTTGAGTTTCTTGCTATTCAAAACAGCAGCCTCAGAGTCACGTGACATTAAACCCCAAAAAGCCGGCCGTTTTCACTCAGTTTTACGGCGAGACCCCCTTCAATGAGAACACAAATTTTCATGACCATGCAGGCACCTGGAGGAATAGGCAGCTGGTGCCCTGGACTCCCTATGCATCCACAATTCAGCCAACATTAGTCTTAAGAACAGGAAAACCACTTTTCCTCTAATCATCTTTTTTATTAGTAAATTGGTCTCGTCTACAAACAAGAGGGTGGAATTTCAAAATACCACAGACACCTATGGGAAGGACAACATTTAAAAAAAATAATAATTAATTTTTCTTAAAATCTTTAAGAAAATTGAACAATTAAATACAAGGTATTTACATTGCAGCCCCAATAATCACGTGATTTATAATGACAGAAATGTCATATATTGTGTTGTATGTGCATTTCTGAGGAGACTGACCATAGGGTCGTGAAGCCAGGGTGTCTGTTTAGGGTCATGAGTGCTGCGACATCAGGAATTTTTATGGCTGTTATTCTGTCCCGTTTGCTCATGTGAAGGTCTGCATGTGAGGAAACTGGGGTGGGGAGGTCCATAAATACCAGCATAAATCTGCAGCATTCGGAGTTCTGGGTTTCCTAGCTGATTTCCCATCACCATGTGTTTCCAACATAAAAAAGGTCTGTCAGTCAGTCGTGGCACAAGTGCTTAAAAGGGCCAGCATTGTCTGAATGTATCAAGGCGAGAGACTTTGAGACCCTTTCAATACAAACATTTATATGTCTGTGTGTGTGTGTGTGTGTGTGTGTGTGTGTGTGTGTGTATATATAAAAAACAGTAACATAAATTCTCATACCCAACCTAGGCTGCATGACTTTTTATAAAGCATTTTAAAAGAATATCTTAAAAAAAATGATGACTTATTGGAACATTTTAGTTCCATTAACATAAAAGCACCAGAATGATGATCAGGCCACAACACTATAATTTTTCTTAGGTTCCGGCTGAATTTTTGTCCATGCCTTCCATCAACCAATTAAAAAAGTGTCTTTTCTATCAAAATCAAGTTCCAGAACAAAAAAGGTTTTAAATGCATCGTGTATCTGACTGGCAACACAAGAAAGTGAGAGAAAACTAATTTAAATAATCAGCGTTACTATTTACAAGGATTTGCCATTCTAGGGAATTAGCCATTTATGGGGCCAGTGGAAAAACACTTCTGTGGGTTCACACAGCGCCCCCAACTGTCCAAACAGGATTGCAACAGATCCCACCTGTCCATTTTCCCCTGCAGTCTTTCCTCATTCACCAGAAGTACGTCTCTCACCAGGACTCCTGTTTGCGAACTGAAGGGCAGATTAACATACAAATTTTTTTTTTGTTTGTTTTTTTCCTTTTTCAAGGTCAAACACACAAACAAGCAGAAATATGAACATTAGCATGATATTTACAGCAAGGATTCTCTTTAAATAAGGCTTTTACCCTTCATTGTATAACCGGTATCACAGCAGTTGTACAACTGTGGGAAGTGAAAAGGTGAACAAGACTTCACAATCAACAAGCAGAATTGCACAGGGTTTGGGTCACCACCAAACAAAAAAAAAAATGCCCGACAAAATGTACAAACAAGACTTTACAGAACCCGGGCCTCTTTTTTATAAGAACCACATTCAGCC